GCGGCTCAGATTCCAGGCCTGGGCTGATGGACCCTGCACCGCCAGCTGGTCTGCCCTGCTGGCGGCTGTGGCCAGATGAGCTCCTGACAGCCGGCTTCAGGCGGCTTGGCGGCCCCACCACCGTCCGAGGTGGCTGGAGCTTGGCTCCTGTCCATGCTGCCAGGAAATGAAGGGAGCTAGCCCAGGGAGCACTGGACAAGCACCCTGAGATCTTGGTTTCATTCATTCATGTTACGGAGTGCCTGCTGGCCGTACAAGAAGCATGCCAGCAGAGAAATGGGCTCCAGCTTCGGAGTGTCCTGGGTTCAGTTCCAAACTCTGTCCTCAATAGTCATGAAGCCATTTCATTTATTCATTTAGTTCTGAAATCGTTGTTGAGCACCTACTATGTGCCAGAGAACAGAGCATGGCAAAGAACAGGACGAAATGGTCCTTAGTCTTGGCCCTTACTGCCCAGGGAGAAGTCATTCTTGTGCTCATGAGCATTTGGGGGCAAGTGGACGGGAATAACACGGGCTTTGGGAGGAGCTGTGTAAGTAGGCAGCTCAGAAAGAGCCCGTCATGCCAACAGCAAGCAGGCAGGACATCGCTGGCAGAGGGGACAGCGTGTGCGTGCATGCACAAGGTAGTGAGGCAGGCTGCAGTGGCAGAGTGAGAGTGTGGCACGAGCCGAGGTCAGCCTCTGCGAGCCTCTTCTCTGAGCCTCGGTTTACTCATTTGTCAAATGGGAGTGATGATCACAGTTGTTGGGGGTTTGGGCAAGGACTTAGGGACATAGTGTGTCCTGGATGCTCAGCATGGAGCTGGGCACGGGCTGTCCCCGGCTACCTAGGAAAGCCCAACTCTGTGGGCCGCCCATGGCGTTCCACACGTTAGCTCCGCAGTCCTCCCAACAGCCATGGAGGGGGGCAGACTGTTGTTCCCATTTCACAGAGGAAGAAACTGGGGGAACGGTAAAGGTCAGCTAATTACTGACTGTTTCAGTAATGCTTATTATGGTTAGCCCAAGGTCTGGCATAGAGCAGGCCCTCAGAGAGTATCTGTTCAGTCCCGTGGACACAGCTGGAAGGAGGTGCAGGGCGTGTGGGGGCTGGGTGGCAGAGTCCTGTCGGTGTGCACATGTGCGAGGTTGGGGTGGCGTGAGTGACTCCGAGGCTGCATGGAGTTGAATGTGACTGCGTAACGGTGAGATGCCCAACGACTGCATGTGGTTGTATGTGTGAGCGCGAGGCTGTGTCTGTGTATGTGACTCTGACAGGCACACACATTTGTCTCCCTGGGTCCTCGCCCAAATGCCCAGTGGCTGTGGTGGCTCCGTCAGACTGTGTCACAGCCTACATGTGACTGTCTGGGCCCAGAGGGATACTTGGCAGCCTTCCTGGGATGGCCTGTATGCCCGGAAGCTACTCGGGGCAGGACAGGCAGGTGCAGAGGTGAAGCGGGCAGAGTCTCCTTCCTCCCCTGCCTAGTCCCATCAGGCAGACCAGCAAATGGAAAAAGCATTCACACCCAAGGCAGGCTGGTGTCCGCCCCACCAGGGACTGCTCTGCGCACAGAAAACAAGTTCTTCTGGTATCAGCTCAAGTTTGGCAGGAAGTGGCTTTTGGGTGGCAGGAAGTTGGATTCAGCTCATATCAGCCCTGGCCGAGGGGCAGGAGAGCAGTTATCTGGGGTTACACAGAGTTACCAAGAAGCAGGGCCCCAGCACTCTGTACCCGATAGAGTGGAGGGTACAGGCTAGCCCTCAGACCATTTGGGATGACTGGGGGAGGGGCCTTCTGGGGCCAGACCGGGCTCATCATTCACCTCTTCTTATCCCCATTAAGCAGATGTGCACACTGAGACTCTGAGAGGCAATAACTTGTCCAAGGTCATCCAGACAAGTGGGGAGAAAGGGAGGGGAGAGAGACTGCAAAAAATATACAACTGTTGGGTTGTCGGAAAAGTCGTGAGTAGTTTTCTTTGTTTTTCTATGCAAAAGTGTGTCACGACTTTTTCGACACCCCAATATGTAGAGACAAGAGAATAACCAAGCAGAGATGGGACCAGAACAGATAGAGACTGAGCAAATGTGAGGAGCAATGAGTCGGCACCGTTGGCAGGGCCATCCCATAACCACCACAGTCAACCCTGAGGTCTCGAGCCCATTTCCCAGGTGCGGAGAGGAAACCAGAAAGCCTCGCTGGCTCAGCCTGGCCTGGAATCTAGGTCTGATTCCAAAGACGTACTCTGTTGTCCCCAACTTTTCGGGAGGGGAAGTGGCTGTCCTCAAAAAGGTGCCCAATTCTGCTGGCTGTTTAACTTGGGTGCTCTGGGTACCTGGGCTGGCCAGTGGGGAGCCAGGGTTCAAGCCTAGGTACATGGCTGATGGGCTTCTGTGCTTACCCATGAGACGGGGTGTGGCCAGAGGGTCCAGCTGCTGGGATGAAGCCTCATAGCAAGCTAAAACCCATGTCTGGCCCAGGACACTTTGTACCCCTTCCCCTCAGCTGTCACTGGAGCCCCTGGGGATGGGCCCAGTGGTCCTGCTCTCATCCTCAAAGCAGCACCCAGGCTGTTCCCTGGTTGAGATGCTGATGGGAAGCTCAGTTTGCATGTCGTTTGCACATTACTCTGTGCATGTCAGAAGGTACGAACATCTCCCTTTCCGGGAGAGGGCTGCTGGGGGGAGGGGGCTGCCCTCTTCCAGACAGCAAAAATGCCAGCAGGCTAGACTGGAGCTATACCCTGGCCTCTGACAGCACCGCCTGCTGCCTCCTCCCCCATTCCCTCCTCGAGCCAAATTTAGGCAGCTCTGCTACTGAGAGATGGGGAGAGCGGAGGCAGGAAACGGTGATGTTGGAGGCAGCCCGGCCTTGGCCCATGCACGGTGGGGCAGCCCCAGGGTGCCCCTGTCCCTAAAGCCCTGGGCCCAGCTTCCCTCCATCCCTCCTCCCACTGGAATGCAAACTGGATTGGGGGAACGCTGGGTTCTCAGCTGCAGCCAGGGTGCTGCCTACCCTGGCCATGAGGGAGGAGAGAGGGAGGGAGAGAGGAGGTCATGGCCGGGGCAGTGGGGAAGGGATCAGATAGCCTCCTCCTGCCCCAGACACCCGCCGCCACTGGGGACACAGAGCCAGCTCTGCTTCTCTGCACTTCCTGCCCCTTCTTGGCCTGCCCCCCACCCCCTGCCTGATTGTAGGGTGAGGCCAGAGGGCACAGCTGGGTGCTAGGGGACTGGACTCCCCCAACAAACCTCCACAGACCATCTGGCCATTAGGCCAGCCCTGCCGTGGTGGCTCTGGTTCCGTTCCCTACCTGGGAAATGGAGAGGCTAGCCCAGAATGGCTCCCAAGTAGCTGTCCGCACTGACAGCAAGGGCTTCTGGGAGGCCTGGCAGAAAGGAGGGATGTAGCGGTGGTTTTAAGCCTAGAAACTTCTTAGAATTCTCAGGTATGGCTGGAGTGGGAGGGGAGGTGGGTGGACTAAACAGTGAAAAGGAGGAAAAGACCTGGCTGAATTTCAGCCACTACGGCCGAGTTGGGGGAGGGGGGTGATAAAGCCCAGTAGTTGGGAGCATGGATCCTGGGGTCTGACGCCCTAGGTTTGAACTCCAACTTTGGCACTCTGTACCTTTTTACTGGGCAAGTCTAATGTACCTCTGCATCCTCCTGGGTAAGATGTGGGTAATAATTCCCAGGGCTGCTGGGAGAGAGAAATAAGGCAGGGAATGCTATGCACCCAGTAGGTGCACCACGACGCCAGACACCAGTGTGATTGTTTTGTCTTCCACAGCGGTTGTTGGTGGTGGTGGGGGGGTCCCATACCTATAAGAGATTGTACGAGATGGGGAGATACCGTCGCTTGGTGGTTAAATGGGCATCGGGATGGGGGATCAAGTCTGCATGACCCTGGGCAAATGGCCACACCCCGCTGCGCCTTGGGCGGGGAGCAGCAGAGGCGCCTACCGCAGAGGGTCTATGAGGATTACACGAGATCAGGCTTGGCACGGCGCCTGGCACATAGCGGGCGCTCCCTGAAGCTGGCAAGATCGAATGGTACCGCCCCGCACAAAGGACAGGTGGGCAGCGTCCCCGTGGGGGTGGAGAGCGGCGGAGCTGGGCAGGTGCGCGGAGAGTGGGGAGGCGGGGCCAGAAGGGAAGAACGAGAGGACAGGGGGCCGCGCGCGTGCGCGCGCGCAGCAGGTGCGCGTAAGGTGGGCGGGGCCCCACGCGGGCGGGGGCTCCAGGTGAGCGGGGGCTCCCTGCGTACCCCCCCGCCCCTTTTGTGCGCCCCCCCAGCCGGGCTGCAGCCGCGGAGCCGTCCCCCCTGCACTGACAGCTGGTATCTAATTACTGTGTGAGAATGGAAAGTCAGGCTGTCCCAGCTCCGGGGAGAGGGGATTAACGTCTCCTGCAGAATACACTTCCTCTGGTGGGTTGCCATGGTTACTCTCATTACCTGCCTGCCCGCGAGGAGCCCGCGCGAGCCGCTCCAGCAGGCCCTCC